TGCCGCGTTTGAAAGAAATTTGATTGGCAGAATTGGGGAACGATAATAGAAAAGTTTCGTGGAAAATTTTAATCGACTCGGTTCTTCTTTGCCCATCTTTATTTCTGCCTTCCTTTGTGCTTGCCTCGATAAAGATATAAGAGGGCAGAGACATGAAATCACTTGCAAATATTTCACTCATCTTTGTTACGATATACGATACAACTATAATCGAAACAATAAAAATTTTTCTAAAAAGAATTCGTTCCATTACGGGATGCAAAGCAATTACGTTCAATTACGATTGTTTAATTTTTTCTCGTTTATTTATTTATCAACTTTGACAAAAGAAAAAAAAAAAAAAAAGAAGGAAATCTCAAATGTGAATGGAGAATCGTGGAGGATATCGTGGCGATTACGAAAAATAATCGAGAACGAAGTAACGAAGGTAGAGATCGGTAATCGTTTTCATCGTTACTTTTCTCCTCCATTGAATTCCATATCGAGCCGTAACAAGCCATGGCGCCGACCTCTAATCATCCGGAGGGATTTACTGCCTATGAACAGTCACGGAACCAACTAGCAGCCCCTTTCCAACGTTCCTTTCTTTCTCCTCCTTTTTCCTCTTTCCCTTCCTGCTAAAGTCAAATTAAACAGAACCTATTTACTTGTACCTCATTAATGTTAGCGCCATAGGTAATAAACAAGTTTAAGTAACGGTTAAAAGACGTAGAGGAATTTATTTGACTCGATGTTTCAGCTTGATGTTTGCGATAAAGAAAGTATGAGAATTTAACGTGTTGACAATTTTCTTGATGGAAAAGAAAAGAAATACGTATCCACGTTGTTTCATCAAATCTACAACAATACGAATTCAGCAACGAGCTTGCAATTTTTTGAAAAAAAAAAAAAAAAAAAATTCTTCGAAAAGCACGAAAATTCGACTACTTTTCAATACTTTTAAAAAATCGGAATGGAGCGAAATAACACTCCATGCTTAACTTAGATCGAGAAGGAAATATTGATCTTTTTCTTCTTTTTTCTTTAACACGTGAAAAAAAAAAAACGCGCGCCGAAACAAGGTGGATGAACCAAGGCGAGGTCGGTTAACCTGAGCGAGTGAGATTTCTACCTGACTGGGTAGATCAAAGTCGATATAGAACCCGTGTTCTCATCTACCGTTCGCGTTCACAGAACTTCAGCGAAGTGGTGGACCTATTCTAGCCGAGCCACCGTCTCTTTGCAGTACATCCTCAGGGACGTGAAAGAATGAGTAGTGTTGTACCTGTGTGAAAGGTACCCAGAACTGGGTATTAGCTTATTTGGCGATAACGGTACCTATCCAACTCCCTTGGGAGTTTAGAAAAAAAAAAAGAAAAAAAAATTCGCGCGGGTTTCAAAGGATGGTACAAAGGATGAAATGATGGGATGGGAAAAGTTGGCATTCCTAATTTATTTTACCTGATGAAGAAGCTTCGAAATCGGGATGAATGTTGATCGATTTACAGTGTTAAATTTAATCTTCTTTGAAAATGTTAGAAAAAAAAAAAAGAAACTTGAACAATCGATCAACTCAAATCAACAATTTAAATTTCCCGCGAAATGAAAAAACGCGATCATTAACACGAGAATGGTTAATATTTTTGCAAACCAATCTTCTCAGAATCCCTTTTTCCTCTCCTCTTGTATTCGTACTCCTTCGAATTACTTTCCAGCTCCAGTTCGCGTCCACTTAACGGCTCGAATTTCATTTAAATCTCCCGCGCGAAATTATCGAAGCTTTCCTTCGATTAACCGAGGGAACGCGAGCCGGCAATTTATTAAGCGAGGTTCCAAGGGCAGAATCGTGATGGGGTAATTGCCGGTTATTGATGGCGTGTAAAAGAATGGCGGCGAGTGGGATTCGAGGGGGGGGGGGAGGGGAGAGAAGGAGGAAGAGAAAAGAGCGCGAAAGGGCGAGTAGTAGTTTTTCGGCGAGGAAGGAAATTTTTTGAAATTGGCGCCAATGATGAGGGCGCAATTTGGTTGGCAATCGGCCGAGCGAGTGAACGTGGTTAATTCGGTTAATTTGCTTGGTAACTCGATACGGTTATTCGGTTTATGGTTAATTTTCGTTAAGTTGATGGCTCGATTATTCATAACCGCCCATTTATACAACGCGGATTAATTTATCAAGAAAATTGTTGAAGCTTTCGATCGAATTCCCAGCCAAATTCACCTTAAAATATGTACAAAACACGAGATCAATTTTATCGTTGGATTAATTAAAACCGTTTCTAACTATACACTTTTTTGCCTCTTATTTATCCTAACGAATATTGTGTTAGAATTTGTCAGAGTAACAATTGTATTATCACTTTGACATGCGCGAAAAATGCTGTTGAACGAGGACATCGAGCTAATAAAGAAGGAGGAGGAAAGAGAGAGACAGCGAGAGAGGTTGCAAGAGAGCGGTTAACAAGAGAGGAACGAAAGGTCGAGGTTCATCGCGCGCTCCTCTCTTACATCGTACGCACGTACGCAACCACCTCGCGAGCGGCAAATCGCGGGTTACGAGCCGAAGGAATTCCACGGCTACCCCCATTAAGGCCGATCCCCGGCCGTGCAACAGAGCCGACGCACAGAGACGAAATCGAAAGGTTGGGGTCAGAGCACGGGGCCCAGATCACGTGTACACCCACACGAGGAAACAGTGTTCAGCCACGCTCTTCTCCGCAAATATTCCGCGCACGTGAACAGATTTTCACTGTATGTATGTACGATATATAGCGCGCCTGCACTCCTTACGTGTTTGTTGGAGAGGAAGATGGAGTATCCTGGATCGACTTTTTTCATTCTGCGTTGGAAAAAAAGGAGATTAAGAGGTTATTGTTATATATAGGTTAGGTTATAGAAGGTTGAGTGAAGATTATTTTATGAATCAATTCCCGGATTAATCGGGTCGGGTAATTTCAGAAATGAAGGATTTTGAATTTAGGATAAGAAACGATAAGATAAATCAGGTTTTGTATTTAGAGATGGAGATCCTTCGTATCTGTTGAAGAAACGTGGAATGAACGTTATCTGAATTATGAATCAATTAATAACATTGCTAGGTGATTAATGTTGATCCTTATCGGTAATAATCATAACGATTTGAAGAAAAACGTTGTTGAACGCATGAATCATTGATAATCGTGTGCACATTGAATTATAATTATTCGTAACTGTTATTCATCATCGAGGCCTTCCAATCTATAAAAGGGAATGGTGCAATTAATATTTTGATTCGCCAAGTAACGAGCTTTAAGCTTATTAAAATATTGCGTATTATGCAACAATGGAGAGTTGAAGAGATCAATCGTTGATTGTAAATAATTAATGATCAGGGCTTTGTAAAGGGAGGCTATTTTTTTCGATAATTGTGTTTGATGAATACGATGCAATAATAATAATGTAAAATACAAATAAATTATCGTTTAAATTTTTTCCATTTCTATCCTTAGTTTAGATACTTTTAACGAAATATATAATTCTCCATATATAATTGGCCAATAATAATCTTTTATGGATTAATAATATTCTCAATTTGAAAAATTTCATTATTAATAACCAATTCAATTCCTTTCATTTTCAAACCAAAGAGTTTAACATCTCAACCTAAAGAAAGAAAAATTACCTTATTATAAATATATATAATGATACCCGTTAAACAATTCTGAACAATTAACAATCCGCTTGCATAATTCTCCCTCACCGAGTCGAAAGCCAACCTCGTTCCCATCCAAAAAGCTCAACCCTTCCCATCCCAAATCCGCTCGATTCCCCGCGTGGACGCGCACGTTGATCCGAAAACGCGATTCCGACTTGTTTCATCGACTCGTCGTGGACGCAAGGTCGTCGATACGGAGGAAAATACCAGGCCAACGACACGATTCGATTGGTGGCAGGAGGGGGCCCGACTAGCGGAATGAATGCAACAAGAAGGCGACACCGACGTCGAAACGGCGGCAATCAGACCGACTCGAACGCCATCTCTCAGCAACGGCAACAACGACGATAATGACGATGACAACAACAATAATAATAATAATAACAACAACAAGAGCGAATAGCAGGCCAAGAATCTTTGGCGGCGGCAGGAGGACGGAACAACGAGCGATCACGAGGAGAGTGCGAAAGCACGAGCTGAGCTGAGCCGACAATGCGGCAGGTACCTACCCCGCAGGCATTCCATCAAGATGCTATCGAAAGTGGCCGACCGCGAGGGCCTGTCCGGCGGGAGGGGAGGCTCTGAACAGAAACACGAGCGACAAAGAGGAAACGCTGGACGAGAGGAGGCCGCCGAGAGATATTAAAGGATGCTGAGCCGCCGACCGAAGGAGAAGGAGGCATCCTATGGCGTGGTGGGTCCCAAGACACCGAGGATCGGGCCTGCGAACACCCGAACAGGCCCGGGCCTTTCTTTCATACCTTTTTCTTCCTCTTCTTCTACTTCTACTTCTTCTTCTTCTTCTTCTTCTTCTTCTTCTTCGTCGTCGTCGTCGTCGTCGTCGTCGTCGTCGTCGTCGTCGTTGGCTGCACGTTTATTTCTTTCTTCATTGCAATTGCGCACGTGAACACTCTTCAAAACGTAACTTTGGTATACACATGTACTTTTTGGTTTAGTATGGAATAATGTGTGTGGTTTGTTTCTTTCTGATTTTTTAACTTTTGATTCTCGTTGAAGATCGGCTTGTGTTTGTTATTGGATTTTTAGAGAATCATTTAGTCAATGATTCAATTATTTATGTATTTAGATACAGGATATGAGTTTTTAAAGTTCAAGATTGTGGATTTGTACAATTGTACAATTGTAGGTAAATGCACATTTTCAAGTTTTTATGCTTTGTGTAGACATTGGATATAAAAAAAGTTTTATTTGGTTTCTGTCTTATTGGGTTTTTGCGGTTTGAGGTTATGGATTTGTAGAATCGTTGCTCGGTATACCTCTATTTATGTAGAAGTTGAGTATCTTAGTATAGAAGAGATTGGTTTTGAAAGTGTTTTTAGATTTTTTTGTAGATTTTCAAACATATCTTTTCGTATATCTTTTCGTTTATTTTCGTTTATCTTAAATGGAAGAAGTTCGTTTGGCTTTCGTGAATTCCGTGAAAACAACTGTTTTGCGTTATTTCTTGACACATATTTATATATTTCTTCTATTTATGTAGATATTAAATGTAGAAAATCTAAAAATTGAATTATTTTTCAGGGTTATAGAGAAAATAAAAAGTTAATTGTAAAATCATTTCCTGTATAATTACACATTCCAAAGAAAAATTGTTCACCTGTCACGATTTCTGTTGCAAGCTTCCAACACGAATATCTTTATCAATTACGACAAGTAATCTCAGCCAGAAATTCTGCTCATCTAAACAACACTTCCCGCCGAAACCTATTCACCACACCTATAACCACTCCCCAAAAATTCCTCACCAACCGTGCACACCTCCAAATCCCAACCTTGCCTCACCACCATCTTCCACCTTCATTCTTACCCGAAAAGAATGCGACTAAAAAGCTTCGCCAAATCCTTCCATTCGATCCCCTATCGAATCGTTCTAAAACTTCGATCAATCGATAATAATCATCATATCGAATAATCACAGAATCCTTCTTCTCAAAACTTTTTAAAATTTCTTCTTTCTTATCGAAAATCTGTACAATCAAACCGATTAAACATTGTATCACATTATCAAAACGTTGTATTTCTTCTCAAAACTTTCTAAAATTTCTTTATTATCGAAAATTTGTACAATCAAACATCGTATCGTTGCTAACGTATGTTTTGTTTTCCACATACGACAGGTGGCGGCGCTTCATGAGCGTGCCAGAGCGCATGTGTCATACCGCATCCATATTGCTTATTCGCGAATTGTTCGTGAAACATGATCGTCAACCAGTGTGGACACTTCAGCAAATAGGTTACAGCAAATTCGTCTACGAGCAACGGACAACGTTGGTAATATATATCAAGCTAGATTTACATTGCTGTTCGCGAATTATTCTCAACAATTCGTAAACTACGTTTCGAACACCGAAGAACACCGTTTTCGAACAATTTCGTCAATTATTTACCGATGAATACACGCCTTCATCAAAGAATCTCGTTCGCAAATTCAAAACGTATTTAAACATCAAGTAAGTCTTTTAACGAATTTTATACTGATTAGAGCGTAAAACATTCGCGTGTGAGATACTATAAAGTTATTCATAACGAATAATTTTCACAGCATTATTCGCTGCATGCTATTGGCTGTTCGCAAGAATATCCATACTATCGTCGAACATAATTTACAAACTGTTGCTTGTGAGCGGCAATCGTACTATCACATTCACGAACACCTCTCAAAACCAATGTAGACTTAGCATCAGAACGTGTTGCATAGCAATATAGTCGGTTGCATTAAAATACACGATTTCTACTTCGATGGAAGGAATACGCAGGACCATACAACACGCGGCGTATAAAACACGCTCGTGTATCCCTGGCCTAAGGGGTCGTCGCACACAGCGGGTTTCCGCGGTTTTTAAAGGGCAGCGCTTATTACACAGATTGGATTAAAGGTCTGGAGTCTCATGGACGGTGGAGAGAGAGAAAGAGAGAAAAGCAGGATAGGAGAAAGGGAGAGAAAGGTGAGTGGTAGGCGGTGGTTGCGGGAGGCGGTTAAGCGAAAGGGGTGGGGAAGGTGGTTTAGCTTGAGACAAGAAGAAGGAGGGAAAGGTATGCGGCTGGTGGTTGTGCGCTTGTGTTTGTAAATGTGTATATATGTATTGGAGTGCGTGTGCACCTGAATACACTGGCACAGAAGTAGCCGAGAGAACCGGCGGCCCACCTTCACAAGGTGATTCACTGCGATCCCAACGTGCTGTGCTCGACCATTACGTATATACTCGCGATTCATCGCAGAAACGTTCGAGATGCTTCGACATTGTACACTACCGTAATCTTGTTGCTGTTTATATACATCTTGTGCTTGTGCCTTAGTAAGTATTTGTGTATGTCTAGATGTATGTCTAGATAAATATTAGGTGAACGATGATATGAATGATACTTTGAATTTTATGGAAGTATAGGATATCTTCTTTTAAATTCGATTTTAAGATTTTTTAATTTTTAGTAGATTTGATATTTGATAAAAATTTCGATTTCTTATGCGTTTAACTTTATGGAAAATTTCGTGGTTTAGATGAAATTTTATCAATATTTCACGCTGTACATTCTGTACGCGTTAAGTTTCGAATAAACGTAGTAGTAAAAATTCCAAGCCCAATAATAGAATTTAATTGGATACAATAATATTATATTGAAAGAAATCGTCCCGATATCGCTTCGTGTTTAAATCGATAAATCAACTTTACAGGGGATAAAATTGAAGAAGAACGTCGAGAAGAACTTGTTGTTAGATGAAGATTGAGAGTTGAAAGAGGGAAGACGTATGGTCTCGGTTGCAAGTTTAATGCAGACATGAAACGCATTCTATCGTGTCTGAATGATCGGTAGAAAGATGATGATCGAGACGATGGAATTGGAGATAATTATTACGGGTGAAATTATGGACAGTCACGGAAATAGGTGAACCGGTAATAGTCGAAGATTACTTTTATAAAGAATACTCTTCTTATAATCCAATAATAGTAAAACTTTGTTCGTTATTTATACATAGCTTCACACGTATCTTAATTTTTCGTTCCAATTTTTAAAAAGCAAATATTTGTCAAAATATTTAAAAGCATAAGAACACGTAACCACCACGCGTAAACAAGAATCTTTATCTGGATGGAGAAGAGATACGACGAAAACAAAATGATAAAAGCTTGATATATTCAGGAATAACTACTAATATTTAACCGAATCTATATGCATGCACCTACATTACGATTGAAATTTTCATTCACCATTCCGACCCGACAAAATTCTCCTTCTCTTTCCACAACGGAATCCTTCTCTCCCCATCTCGTTTCCCCATTCACAAAAATCCCTTCGATCCATCGTTTGAACCGCAATCAAGGCGGTTCCTCTCGGAGAGCTTCAATTTTATTAAATTCGCCCAATTGGACCATATTTATCGAACGATCGCGATAATTCTCATTTTCTACCTTGTTTGCCTCCTCTTCCAACCTTACCCCTCTCGTGTCATCCTTCTCCCGATCACGGGCCGTCCAAAGGGGGATCGAAACGGTTGGTGTTTACAGTTGACTCGTATAAGCAATGTTGCACCGCGAAACGAATGTGTCGGCGTCTGAAGCGACGACGCAATGGGAACCGCCCGAGGCGTGTCGGTGTGCACCCTTGCAAAAGGCTCTCAATCGCAAGAATGCAAAGGCCAACCGGTCCGCTCGATCAGAATTTCGGCCGTGCAAACCTCGCCTTTAAAATAGTATACTTTATTGTCGAACGCGTGAGAAAATCCGACTTTTACGCGTCCATCTTGCCTCCTTCGATATCGTGAAAATTGGATTTTTTTTTATGGGTGTTGGAAATTAAGTTGTTTAAGATGTATTTCGAATAAAGAAGGGAGAGAAGGTAGATTATTTTTCATTCGTGATTCTATGCTTCCAGTAGGTGGAAAAAATCTTGACAATGAAATTATTTAGGATACATCGAATAATGATGGTAGAACGGAAATTGATTTTTCTTTTTCTTAATTTCTCAATAATATTAATAGAAGCAATCGAACTTAATCTTCATTTACATTTACAGCATTTAGGAGAATGTTCTTCACAAGTAGTGACTTTGTTTGAAACCAATTTTTTTTCTTCTCAAATTAAGAATTTTCGCAATAGATACGTCCAGCTAATACAAAACAATTAATCTCGAATATTCCCAAATTAAAAAATATTTCGACCCGAACGATCCACGTGGAACGCGATAATCGACGGCTCTCTAATGGCATCGATCGGTCTTGAGCGTGACGTGAACCCCCAACATAAAAAAAAAAAAAAAAGAGAGAGAAAAATACAAAAAGCTGGAGAATAATCGAGGGTGGCGGAAGAGGATTCAAGAATTCGCATAAATTTGTCCGCGGTCCTCGGGCGCGAGGCAATATTTTTCCGGGGCGAAAGGCTTGGTGGAAAAAAGAAAAAAAAATGGAGAAAAACGAAGGACTGAAACGACGACGACTTGGAAACGTCGAGATATATTTCGCCCCGGATCTCAATAAAGCAACGGCCAATGCAATTCTTCTTCTTTTTTTTTTCCTTTTCTTTTCTTCGCCTTTTCCCCTCCCTCTCTCCTCTCGAAAAGTAATCGGTAATCCCTGCAACGGAGGGCACTAACGAGAATTAATACCGAGCGGAGTGTTTGTTTTGTGACTCGGCAGCCGGGCTTTTAAAGATCCGAGTCGCACATGGGAATCAGTTCGCGAGGCCACGTCTGAATAAATTAAATCCTTACCAGGAATTCACTAACGACCTGTACCTCTCTACCTCTCGGCCTACACCACATCTCTTAATGCATGTTCTATGGCCTCCTCCTCCTCCTCCTCCTCCTTCTGTGCGCCACGGGATTTTTATTTTACGCGTTATCCTTTATTCTCGTTTTTTTTCTTTTCTTTTTCTTTCCCTCCCCTTCCCCTTCCCCCCTCCCCCTCCGTCCTTTTTTTTTTTTTTCAGATCGGAGGAGTTGTTTTGTCTCGGCGCGTATATATGTAACAATAAAGAGGGAGGCGAAACGCACAGGAGTGAAATTGTTTTTTGCTAGTCATGACTTCTAATAAGGAACAAAAGCCGCCTTTTACAACGGCATTGATATTTGAAATTTTTTGATCGATCGGCCTCCTCCCTTCTCCCTTTCTTCTCCGCCTGAATTAACCGTGAATATATATATACGTGATTGTTGATAATCTGTTTTTAAGAAAAGGAGAATTTCGATAATTTATTTTATTGCGGATGAATCGGAGCGAAGTTTATTTAGTTAATTATAAACTGTACGTATATTTTATAGAATTTATCTGATATGCGCGAAAAGAAAGATAAATAAAAATAGAAATATCCAGTGAATATCTATTTTTGAAATTACGAGATCCCTCTTTTATCTTGTCTCAATAATTACATTAACTATATATTTTATAGAATTTCAACCTTTTTCGGCTCCTGGCCTTTTTCGTTCCAGACGATTTCACACGCAAATTAACGTTATAAACCATTATATATATATTAACATTTTATCTATCTTTTACATAGAAAAAAAGGAAGATAATTTGTTGAATGTTAAAAATCTATTCTGTGTGATAATTGAATAATGAAGCAATTACTAAGAAGCATTCTCGGTTTGTCAGGGCAAATATCATTTATTGTTTGTCTATTATTCCTATTTTTCGTCTTCTTATTCTCTATCTCTATTTTTATTTTCCTTCTCTCTAACGTCTTTCCTAATGAATAGAAATAATTTCAGTTATTTAATCACGAGAAATCACAAACACAATGCTTCCAAAACTCAGAAGCATTGAAAATAACATTTCTATCGTCACGTTTCTGTCAAACACGGACTAACGTCCGTAATACGTAGTTGGATCGAAATTTTAGATAAAAAAAAAATCTATATCACTCGATATATATTGCTCTTTACAAGTTTATACTTAAAGAGCTTAGGAATCTATTTATTCGTGGAGCGATATTTAAAAAAAATCCAACACGAATAAAAAACATTCGAATTGCTGCATCGATCCCAGCTCAAGAGTCGGCATCACGTTTGGAGCGTTTAAGTTTCATTAATGAAACCCGAACGAGTCGCAAACAATTGTATCTTTATTGTCGAAAAAGTGACATCGTTGTTTCCACTCAATTCCCCTGATACGAAAAGGAGTGAATCGAAAAGGAGAAAAGAGATAAGATAAGAAATTCCTCCATAGTTTACCTTATAGTATACCATTTATTTCGATACCTTTCTCTCGTCTCGAGAGAGAAGATAATTTTTAATTACGAGCAATTGCGAAGTTGGGCGTCTGCGGCGTCACGTTTTGCCCCGCGTTTGTCATTGCACTCCACCTGTTATCGTCAATTGCGCCGACGAACGTGCAAACTTGAGCGCGCGTTCACGCAACGGCGCACAATCCCTCTTCTTTCTCTTTCTCCACGGCACGGTGATAATTATCAACGTGAGAAACCCGCCTCCCCTCCCCCTCCCCCGCTACGTGGAATGTTCCATCCATCCCGAACTTCCCTCGATTTCGGGAGGAGGAGACGAAATTTTCTTTTCGAGGCGAAGAAACGTGAATTATTATCTTTTTTTTTTTTTTTCAAGCTTTCAAGAAGCTGTGACGTGATTTCGCTTGTGACGTGATTGTGCTTGGTGTTGGATTGTCGAACGATTTTACGAATTTAAAACGAAACGGGGAAGAAAATGTATAAGAAACGGTTTTTTGGGGCGAGTCCAGGCTTGTTTGTACAACACAGGTGTGTGTATATATATATATATAATGTAACGTGCGCGGTTTCCTTCGTTTTTTCGACACGGGGATAATTAATCAGGGGAAGGTGTATCATTTTTCAAGGTGATCAGCTCGGCGAGAAACATTGGCAACGTTACGTGCGCCATGTGAACCGCGTTCCTCGCATTCGAACGAAAAAGCGTGTCTCTCGTTCGTGCAATTATATCTGGCCCGATGAAATATTTAAAAGTCGAGCTCCCAGATTCGATTTTATTATTAACGACGAGCGAGATTGTCGCCCCTTTTCTTTCGAATCGAGCGGAAACGATACGATACGACTGAAACATCGAGGGAACTAAAATATCGAGTCATACCGACGCGTAAACAAAGGGGCGAAATTATGAGACGGTTATAACGGTCGCGTCCAACAATAACAACGAGTTAAAACGAAGACGAAAATATATTATCCGACAATTCTTGCTTATCGAATCGAGAAGAAAAGAAGAAAGAGAGAGAAGGAGAAATCAGCCGCCCACCAACCTCCCTCCCCACATTGCAATTCCTTAATGACGCGTATTCATACGAAAGCAGACTCACTGTCTCCGAGCGCAGACGGTGATAATTATCACCGTGAGAAACGTCATGTATCACCTAAGGCGAGCCACCTTGCGAGAGATGATGCTGATGTTGGGCTGATGGCGGCGGCGGTTGGGCTGTTTTCAAAAGGGCCATCCTCTTCCATCCTCCAGCAAAGATGGAGGAACGAGAGAGAGAGAGAGAGAGAGCGGTTGGATCTGGACGGAGAGGAGGGCACGAGGAGGAATTTGATTTACGCATCGGCTCGTTGAAGTGGATGTATTGTGCGAGAAAACATTGTGACGCATCGTGGGGGACGAGTGGGGGATAAAGTCTTAATTACCAACCGCGCGTGTATCGAGGCTACGATTTCGCGAAAAGTCACAGTCACGGAGGCGAGTGAGAAACAATGAGGAATTTTGAAACTGACGCGCGTTGAGTGTAATAATTTCGTGGGTTTGTGGAAGGAACGATTCGATCAAGTTGTAAAATTTTAAGAGATGAATTATATAAATAGCATTCTCGTTGGAGATAACGCTGCATGATTATTCAAAGTAAATGAAAGGTAATTTTAATTGTAAAAAAAAAAAAAAAAAACAAAAGTAAAAGTAATTTAAAATAAGATGTGAAATTGAAATTGGATGGATGTGAAGGAAACGTGAAAGTGTTATAAAAAAAAAAATAATTATTTTTTCTAATTTTTTGTTCTTACAGAGGATTGAATTGGATCGTAAAGTTACAACCGGAAGCTTAATTCGTCGTTTGTATTTCAAGTAGGTAATAGATTTTCAATGTAATTTCAACAAGAGGTTAAACATACATCGAATTGAATAAATTGAAGTTCGTTAGAATTAAATAGCTTAATATCTCGTTACAAACCTCGTGACCAATGTATCCACTGTTTTATTAGAATCAAATCAGTTAACGATTCTAAATTATCGTTCCTCACTATTGACGCTTATCTCGACAGGTTCATGTAACTTGAGCTTCATGGAATTCTATTATCTTAGAATTATAGTCGAGTAACAAATTTTCCATTTAATATTTTTAAATTCTTACATTCAATATTCCTAAGTTCTAAAACAATGATTCATACGCATGAAACTTGATTATAAAATTTGAATGGAATCTTCGGAATCTCTTCGATTCCGCCTCTACCTTAAACTATACCCTATGTCTTGAAACAATTCCTAAACGATATTAACCGTACGGTATGAATTAAGTTTTTGAAACAATACAAATCCTAATAAAAATCCCTCATCCAAAAAAAAAAACCTCGCAACAATCACACCTTGTATAACTTACGTAACCTATCCAAAAAGAAGAAGAAGAAGAAGAAGAAGAAGAAAAAAAAACCAAACGACGTTCATTCTGAAATTCCAACTGGCCCCCGAAAGAAAACCTGAAACCGCGCTAATCTTTCCATCATTATCGATCGCAGGTAACCACGATCGCCCCACCAAAAATTCCCACGTGTCCGGTATTCGAATTCCGCAGGACCAGGAAACGGTGGGCCCGATGGATTCCGTTTTCGGGCCCGAAATGAAGGGGGAGAGGAGGGGGGGGGGGGGTCTTATTCGCGACGAAATAAGACCGCGGCAAATAAGAGTCGTACACGGGAGAGGGCCCACGGCGGAACTCATTTTAATTAGAAGGGGTCCCTTCGTTTTATCGAGTTATTCCCGTGCCCCTCCTCCTCCTCCTCCCCCCGCCCCTCTCTCTCGCGCCCTTCCGCGGCCCGTTTCGTTCCTTTCCCCCGCCGGCCGGCGCGGCAGCCGACTCCCCTCCCCTCCCCACTCCTTCGTAACGTTCGCGCGGCCCCGTGCCCCGCCGATCGGGGCCGGGCCCACGAAGCCGGCTTGGAATGCGGTCCTACGGGGCCCGTAGTGGTCGTGGAGTACGGCGTCTCGGGGTGTCGGAGTGTGCGTACACCGCGGTCACGTCAAATCGCAACCAGCCTCGTATTTTTTCCGATGCTTTTGCGACGGGTAAGGGGCCTTGGCGCGGGGCCCTTCTCGTTCGATGATGATAAACGAGAGAAATCTTCTTTGTTTCCCAAGACTGGGGTTAAATAGGACGATTCGAGGGAATTTTTTTTTTTGGGCATCGTAGTTTTTCAAAAGTCACCAAATTTTCAACTTTCAACGAGCGAAGAAACTACTACTGGATACTAGATCAATATTTTTTCAATATTTCCAATCGATCCGAAGCGACACGGTTTAGAATATAATACTAGACTACGAAGAAACCACATCGCTCCCTTCGTCACCGCAATTATTAAAAAATTCCAAGCTTTCGTACCAACTCGAAACGAGTAGCCCCTTCGCGACAATCCTCGTCCATCGCACGATCTCCCCTCCTCTCCTCCGTGTCCGTTAGCCTCCTCCCGTTCACCTATTGAGGGAGGGGGCAGGAGAGGAGGAACGGGACCTCCAAAGCGGCGACCAAGTCCAGGGAGGTCCTTCCTTCCTTCCTTCCTTCCTTCCTTCCTTCCAAGCGGCGGTGTACGCCAAGTGCTACGAAGAAGAAGAAGAAGAAGAAGAGAGAGAAGAAAGGAACGGCTCCTTGGCAGGATCAAAGGATATGGCCAGATCCTTTTTGCTCCGTGGGGATCGAAAATGTTCGGCTCGGGTTTCGGGTTCGCCGCGTTTAGAAGAGGGAACTGCCTCGAAGCAGAGAGAGAGAGAGAGATTGCGAGGAACGATCGCGTTCGCGGGCCTTGTCTCGGGCCTCGAGCCCCGGCTGATGGTTTCTGGAATATGGGCCGGCCCCTGATGGGTTCGTTTCGGCTCGCCGGAATTGAAAGCCCCGCTTTAATGGACCGCCGACACTTTGTACACGTCTAGTGGCTGCGGGGAGGGGACACCTCCTCCTCGCACACCTGACTTTTGACAAATTCACCAGAATTATCGGTTTACATGTTGTTCCTCCAAGTGTTCTGACCGAGGTTGGAAATAAATTTGGATTTTCCGGTGATCGGTGTTTCTCCAACCGATTTGTAAGCTCGGCTTACAAAAGTTTGTTTATCGATAACGGTATCGTCATTAGTGTCTCTCGTTGTGTTTATTCACCTCCGTTCCTCCTTCCGCGAATCTGTCGAGGATTTGGATTAAGAAGAAACGTTGAAACGTTGCTCGTCTTCTTTGTGTTTCCATTTTGCTACGCACGAATAAATAACGCATCCTCGATCACGATCTAACCTCGTCCAAAACCGTCCAATTCATCCTCGCTGTTTACAAAAATTTAGAAAGAGGAAAGAAACTAAATCAACCAGAAATTCTCGCCTCTCCTAATATATATATATAAACCTCGCGCGGTTTAAACATCCTCCTCGTCGGCCTTGACCCCGAAATATTCCACCGTTTCTCGCGATCGAGAGTGGCGCACAGTGTTCCAAAACACACAGCGGCGGCCAGACACGAGTCTGCGTGCAGGTATCGCGGGGTGGGGAGGGATTTTCGCCGATAAATGAAAGGGCGGAGGAAGGAAACGAGGATGGGCAGCACGCGATCTCCCGAAAGAATCTTCGTGGAATCTTGGTGGAGGGAGATTTATCGGATTTGCAAATAATGAGACTATGTTTCAAACAGTTTCAAGCCTCCCTTTCGTCCGTCCCTCCTTCTCGGGCGATTTTTTTTTCTTTTTTCTTTTTCTTCTCCCTCCTTTGGAACGACCTTGCGCTTCCACGAAGGGTCGAGTTGGGTTTTCGAGGGAGAGAGAGAATTTCGGGAAGGAAATTTTGGGAAAAACCAGAGGAGAGGAACCTCCCCCCCCCCCTGTTCTGTTTCCCTTCACCTTTTGGAAGAAAAATTCCGGAGGATCTGGAATGCCGGGATCTTGGAATTCGTGCAAGGTGTTTCTCAAGGAATTCTTAAGGAGGATAAAGGATGATCCCGGAATATTTTCAGACGTCCCAGAAGAAATTTTCGACAATCCGTTGAATTAATTTCTGCGAGAAGAAAGAAAAAGAAGAATAATGGAAAAGGATTTGGATTCTGTTGGAAAATTAGCATATCGATACATTCCTCTTCAAACTTTCATCTCTCGAAGCAAGACGAGAGTTCAACGTCTACCACGTCAAATCTTTTTTTTACTTTGAGGGAGTACAAAGGAGGTTCTCACACTACGTGTATCATATATACATACATACATACATACATACATACATACACGAAGCTCGAAAATCTCGGCATCATCGTTCCGAGAATCCGGCAAAATTACCTGAAACTGAAAGACAAGAGGAGCGAGAAACCGCGAAACGAAGAAATCAGAAAAAGCGAGAAAACCGAAGCAATAAAGTGAGGTGAGGTGGCTAAGGTCGAAAAGGCGAGGATCTCCTCCTCGAGGAAGGAAGAAGGAGAGATAGAATGTTGGCAACAAAGCGGCGGCAGCCTGTTAATAAAGTAGCTAATTCGCCGGGGAGAGAGGAAGAGGAGGAGGGGGTCTTCGTCCGTTTATTTTCCTCCAGAATCTTTGCTCTTCCCATCCTCGCCGTTCCTCCTTCTGGCTTCTCCTTCCTCCTCCTCCTCCTCCTCCTCCTCCTCGCTGGGCCCGGCGAGGGTGGCGTTAACGAGGCGGCGAGACTTTCACACGATCGTTTGCATCGAGACAAACAGGTCCCGTGAACCACGCGGGATCCACGATTCTCCTCTATTATTTACACGACCGCCTCTCCTCTCAGAGAGACAGAGAAAGAGAGGCGTAGAGCGATCTTTTGAATTTCTTTTGCACGGGTTTGCTTATGTGAATCTGGATTAGCATCCATAATGTTTCTTATTAAAAGAATTTAACTTCTTTCAGTTGCATCTGGATTAGCGGGCATCCGATACACTTACTTTCAAAAATTTAACTCGTTTCGGTTAACAAATCCCTAACAACTATTCCAATCTCGTTCGTAAGCAAGATTATAATACGTTTCTTCCTAATACCGTCATTACATCTTAATATCTTCCAACAGTCTCTCCTGAAGCATTGTCACGAATCTAGAGATTAAGATATCCAAACTATCCAACAATCTTCGAAGTCATCGATCTGAAAAGGATCTAATTTACGGATTATCCGGATTACCTCAACTTCGTCCAACTCCAGCGGAGCTTGTAATCCTACGGGAATACAGCGAAGAGCGTGGCGACAATTAGTCGAGTCTACGCGAATAGCGCTCGCCACCGTCTCGACGTTTGGGCTGATTGGCGGAGAGGAAATGTCGCGTTTAATTGGCGAAGAACGTTGGGGAGATATGAGGAAAAAGCGATTCGCCACGTAAGACCACGGTGCGTCAGTTCCTCGGTGAGGCTTAATGGAACAATGGGGGTGGAGGAGGAGGGCCTCCGGTGGCAACTCGAGGGCCCTGGCAGTCAATGAATCTGCTGGCCTTTTCCCATGACACACCACGCTTCTTCCCTCTCTCTCACCGACTCGCTTCGGGTCCACCCGATTTTATTAGCCTCTGACTCATTCCGTCTTTACTCCTTCGCTTCGATGGATATCTTTCCTCCCTTTCTTCTTTCTTTCGTCCTTCTTCTTCTTCTTTCCTTTGTCTTCTCCTGTAGAGAGAGAGAGAGAGAGAGAGATCATAGACAAGTGGAGACTATGCTATC